TCCTGACTGATCTGTACCTCAACTCCATTGACCCGCCTTTGCTCCCTGTCCCTTGATACCCTTACCTAACAAAAATCTATCCACCCCAAAATTTTGAAAATCTCCAGCGTCCACTGCCTTCTTGGAGAGAGAGACAGAAAGCCAAGGTGAGAGGGTGCCACCGGTGGACATGGCAATGCTTCCCCCACAAATTACACAGTCAATTCACTGTACAGTAAATTCTGCGAGTCATTTTGAGACATCTCAGCAATGTAATAAGGCGCTACATCAAATGCGAGGATTATTGTAATAATTATCAATGTGTGTGAAAGAAGGGGACATACGACAGAGAGAGAGGCGGGGGGGCAGATGAGAGGGAGAGTGGGGGGGGGAAGCAGAAGAGTGCGAGAGAGGGTCAGATGAGAGAGAGAGCAGGGGACAGATGAGAGAGGGGGGAGTGGCAGATGAGAGAGGGGGGAGTGGCAGATGAGAAAGGGGGTGGGGGCAGATGAGAAAGAGGGGGCAGATGTTCTCTCTCTCTCCCTCATTCACTTTGATATACTGCAAAGTGAATGTGAGAGAGAGAGAGAGGGAGGGAGAGCGTGTGGAGAAAAAGCTCCGCAGTAGGAGACTGATTGAGCAATGTACCAGCTGCGAAGCTGTAGTAACTGAGCAGAGGGGAGCAAAAGGAGCTTCCAACAATGACAAGTCACTAAACATGTGCCAGGAGTTGTGTAGGAACCCAATACCAGCCTCGTTCACTGGAGATGGGCAGGGACCCAGCGCAGCTGGAGCAGGCAGCGTTCCTCTGTCCCAGCGCCAAACCCCACACCGCACAGTCTGGTGCCCATTAAGCATCGCTCCCTGGGAGGAGGGGGCAGCACGTTTACAACTACTGCACACAGAGCCATTGAGGAGGAACTTCATTTAAAGGACCGTCAGTTCAGAACAAGAAGAAACTCTTTCATTGTTCGGAGAAACCCGGGAGGAAGGGGGAAAGTGGGGGGAGGGAGGTGGTGGTGGTGGGAGGCAACGAGGCTTTCAGGTCTGAATCACAGCAACGCTTATATCGTGCGTGTGTGTAAAAAAAAACACAAAGAATTTTTTAAAAAGTTTGGCAAACAGATTTTCCTGAAGACAGTGACCCCTTTAACTGCGGAATGAAAGCTTCCTGCTTGCACAAAGGTTCTCAGAATTGATGGAGATTCAGGAGCTCTTCCGGTCCTTTTCATAGCTCACAGATTTCACCTCCCACACACACTCACCCCCCACCCCCCCCCACTCCCAAACGCACACATACGCGCACACAGCCTGACCCCACCACACCCACCACACCCACCACACACAGATCCCCCATCACCACACACACAGCCTGTACCCCCTGCCCCCCCCCGACCTCCACACACACACACACACACACACACACCAGACTCCCCCTACACGCACACGCATACAAACCCCCAACACACGCGCGCACACACACTCTCCTCAACACACACACACCCTTTCCCAAACACACACACACACACACACACAGGCCCTCCTCTCCCTTTTCCATTAGTTTGCGATATCACACAGAAAAGGTTATCTAACATCTGAGAAGCTCAGAAGAAACCGCGGAAAGTGTAGAAATGAGCTGGTGAGGCACCAAATTATTCAGCAACAGAGAAAAAAACAACCCCCCATTGTGTCATACAACAGCACAATCATTTATTACATATATATATATATATTTGAATCATTCTGTTAAATTGGTCTTGAAATATAATAATGAATAAGGGCAGGGAAGGAAGGGGTGGGAAGGTTACCGAAGGTTCGGTCAAAGAGTTATTTATATATAAAAAATAATCCTTGCATTTAACGTAGCGCCTTATTATGTCTTTGAGACTTCTCAAAGCGTTTCACAGAGTATACTGTAAGGCGAATTGACTATATTTTGTGGGTGAAATATTTATGTTATGTAAAATAAATAATATATTATAAATATGATGTAAGATATTATAGACTGCTCATCGTATCACATATGACAGCTGACAGCAATATACACACGCGCACACACGGTAACTCCATTCAGGAATTAATTTCTGATCTGCTTGAAAATAAATATTTAGCAACTTTCAGGAGTTACTATCATTCACCCCCTCACCTCCGCACCACCAACAGACTGGCTTGCCTGCTGCGGGAAGATGTGGTCAAGCACTGAGGTCCATTCATCAGACACTCAGCGAAGGCCAGCGAGCTTCCGGGCTCAGGACAGTCTATCCAGAGCAACGATTCACAGAGTGCAGGAACATAGAAACAGGAGTAGGCCATTCAGCCCCTCGAGCCTGTTCCACCAGTCTATTAGCTCATGGCTGATCTGTACATCAACTCCAATTTAAGGCCTCGCCAGGCAAGAGATCAGCGTTCCTCCTAAAGGATCATCCGCACCACCCAAACGGTGTAGGGAATTTAACAACAAGGACTTCCACACAGCTCCACTAACTCAACTTCCCTCTCCGAGGGTTCAACGTTCAGAAATAGGAAGCGGAAAGAGAGCAATGTGGCCGGGTCTCAATGCAGCGATAGGAGGTTCGTTGCAGAGATTTCAGGCAAGCTGAGCTTCCCGCAAGAGTTTAGGCCACAAAATACGGTCAATCCACTTCACAGTATATTACTGTGAAGCGCTTTGGGACGTCGCAACGACGTGATAAGGCGCTAACACCCAGAGGCAAGGATTAGTATTTTTAAGCAATCTGAGCCTGCGTATACTGGCTACAAAGGGGGGGCGGGAAGCAATTGCCATCTCTGGAAAGAAGGTTGAGCTTTATTAACCCACCACATGACTGACTGACCAAGAAACACTTCCCTCTAGCCAGTTTCCTCCTACACGCAGTGACCCCCAGTTTGGGGGGGGGGGTTAAGAGGGAGAGAGGGGGTAACAAGCAAACTGACCACCACAAGAGTCTAGAATATCGGTTTGTCCACATATACTATGTTACTGTAGAATCCACAGCAACACATATCACCAACCCCTTTCAATTTAATTCTGCCGATAACTAACAGGAAAAAAAACACTGATTTTAATACTTCGGGGTCCACCAGGACTTCCAGGCAGCTCCACTAACTCAACTTCCCTCTCCGAGGGTTCAACGTTCAACCTAAAGAGGTTTAGAGTTGCAAAGGGCAATTTCAGAACAGACAGCCGGAAGATTTTTTTTCTCTTTACCTAAAGGGCAATCAATGACAGGAACAGGTTGCCAGGGCACATGGCTGAAGTCAATAACAACTTGTATTTATACACCGTCCCTCCCACGGGGTTGCGTCCCAGAGTGCTTTCAGGTCACAGGAATCATGTTTAGAGAAAAAAAACAGTTTGATATAGCGCCAGCGGAGGCGTGGGGTGTGTGGGTGGGGAGGGGAAGCGGTGGTGTTCTGGAGAGGATGAGATCAGAACGGGCCCCAAAGCCTTCTTCATCCAAACCTGGCTTGTGGTTCACAGAGGGCTATGTGAGGAGATACGGACCAGGCTAGGCACGGTGACACTGCAGAAAGATCTCGCAGTATCACGGGACCTCGGAGGCTGTGGATCACACGGTGCTCGCTGCAGAAATAATGAGTATCTCAGGAAATTAGAAACCTGAGATAGCATCATGTGTGATAACTCACTCGTTATTGTGCTGCACGGAAATGTGGGTGGGAGTCAATACTCCTAAAGCTGTGTCATTTTTTCCCCACTGTAAGCCCACAGAGATCTAGGACACGGGTAGGTAGATACACAGTGGAACTTGAATACAAGCCGGTGAGTTATAGTGGGCTTTAATTTCTCAAACACAACACATTGTAAATAGATTCTCATACACACACACAGTAATAGAGACGGACAGACACACACATAGTAATAGAGTTATACACGCAAGTGATAGATAGACAGACACACACACACACGGGAAGAGAGACGGACAGACACACACATAGTAATAGAGTTGTACACGCAAGTGATAGATAGACAGACACACACACACACGGTAATAGAGATGGTCTCAATGAGATGGAAGGATATTCCAGGCAGGGGGCGAAACCTTGGGCAAGTTTCTTTACTCCACACACCTAATAATAATCCCTCCAAAAAAACAAAACAATAATAAATTGGTCATTTTCAATCCATGACTGGTTGTGGGACACTGCTGTGCGCAATTGGCTGCCATGTTTCGCCCACAAAATATATACTGTCAGTTCACTTTACAGTCTATGCTGTGAAGCGCTTTGAGACGTCGAGAAGATGTGAAAAGCGCTATATCAAATGCAAGGATTATTATCATTATTCGATGCCTTTCCTGCATAGAGACACTGAGCGTCTCCTTCAGGCACACACCAGACCACCTTAACAGAACGATCAACTATAAACGGCAAAGATTAGTCCCATTACCCCCACTAATGCTTCATCCAAGATCTCAGCAGACAAGAGACAAGGTGTGCGTCTGTATTAGTCACTGATACAGCTGATGCTAATGATCATTGTCGGGGTGGGAGCAGAGGGGCCACAGAAAGAGAGAGCAAGAGAAGCGTTTACTATTTACCCTACCATCACCAGCCACCTCTACTGATCCATCACTCCTCCCTACCCTCTTCCGGCAAGGAATGACATCCCAAAACATCCCCAACCCCCAGACCCCAACCAATTCAGCTGTTATCTTCAAATACCATCTTTCAGGATTAAAAGAACAACCACAAGAAAAAAATGACACTTGTATTGCGCCGTTCGTGTCGGGAAGACATCCCAGGGCGCTGGACAGGTGGGGTCAGGAGGGGTGGGGAGGCTAAAGGCACAGTCACAGAGGGGACTTGAAGGAGGCAAGAGAAGGGGGTGAGGCGGAGGGATTGCCGGATAAAGTTGCGAAGTGTGGGGGCAGTGATGCTGAATGCCCGACCACCAATGGTGGGGCAGGAATTGCGGGGGACCCGAAGTTTTAGGGAAATCCAGGGGAAAAGTAAAGCACTTCCCCTCCACCACCCCCCCCGAGCCACACGCAGTCACTTACCGTGTCTGTCTTGTGGAGATGGCGGCCAAGCCCTCCCTTTGCCTTCCCCGACCAGACACCTTTCAGACCCCTCCGGTCATCAGCTGCAAAACATAAAACATCAATAGAATACAACTGTTTCCAGGCCGGGGGCGGGAGGGGTTTGCTTCACAGAACTGGGGGCAGGTTAACCAGCTCGGTAATAGGATGTGGACCCTCTCTGTCACTCCAGCTCTCATCCCACACCACCCGTATTCCCCCCACCCCCATTGCCCCCACCGCACCGATTACCCCCACCGCACCTTGCCCCCTGCTCCGCCCCTTGGAAAGCAGAAACTTTCACTGCAAAAATGGTCTCTAGACAGATAGACATCGAAGTACTGATGTGCTGCTCGCTACTAAAGGGCTTACAATGGTCACTTTATCACTAAAGAGCGAGAATCCTGTAGTGTAACGGTTAGAGTGGTTGCCTCACAAGCAAGAGGACGTGGGTTGGATTCCCGGTCAGGGCGAAACCTTAGGCAAGTTTCCTTACTCACGTGCATCTGTCGACATAGCAGTAAGTAGGAACCCGGTCGTTAGTTGATTGCCAGATCGCTTTCTGGGGGGGACAATATTCTCTTCCAAAAAAATAATAAATAAATAATTATAATAATTTTGTCACTCAGTCTACGACTGTTTGTGGGGACGCTGCTGTGCTCAACTGGCTGCTGCGTTTCGCTCAGAATTATACAGTCAATTCACTTTACAGTGTATTCTGCCAAGCGCTTTGAGACGTTTCAATGACGTGAGAAGGTGCTATTTCAATTACATGATTATTATTATTATTAAGAGGAACAACATCACAGCTGTCCCTGCTGATCCCATCAATACGTGACTCGCCATGAAGCTTCACTGGATAAGAATCAGGAACAGAATCCACACTTGTATCTTTCTCCGCCCTCTATCCCTGTAGCAAACCCTCCACCATCCACTGTGCTCAACTGACTCAACCCAAACCTTCCTGTGAGCCTCATTCTATTTACCCCCTGAGCCAATGGGGAAACCAGCCAAAAAACAGCCCCTCGAGAGAAATGCAATGGGATAAGCCTTAAAACTGCAGAGGTTAGAAAAACACACAGCGAGAGATTTTGCAGATGTTGAAATGGTTAAAGTCAGCCGGGATTTTATCTTGCAGGAATCTTTACTGTGAAGCCCCCTCTCCCTCCCTCATTTTATCTTTAGTCACAAGGAAGCTCCATTTTCAGGCCAAAAGAGGAATTAGCTTTGTCGAAACCAGTCCAGTCCCTCAGCTGAACGTATGTGAAGTATTTTGACTCAGTTACCAGAAAAAAGGCAACAGTGCATTGTAATTAACAGTTACTCCACATTCTTGCGATCCTCAGGGGTATGAGTTTCCCCTCCCCCAAACCAAAGTCCTGGCTCAAATGTTAACAAGATCTCCCACTGATCGCCTGAGTGCACCAGCGCCGTACAGTTAATGCCAGAGAGGGTTAATGTGTCCCATGGATTCCTGATTTATTCCAAGTTGAGAGCCTGAGAGGATAAACTGTGCTGAAATGTCAGACTCAGAAACAGCACAAAATAGAGGATGGGACAAATCTGTTCTTTCCACATGTCCTCATGGCTCAGCTCACCCACCTTCCACCCCACCCATCACAAACAGCCGTGAAACGAGTGACCAACTTTATTTGCGGGGTGTGTGTCATTGGCCAGGACAACGGGAGAAAGTCCCTTCTCTTCTCGACTTGTGGGATCTTTAACGTCCATCTGAATAGTCAGACGGGGCCTCAGTTTAATGTCTCAACCGAAGGACAGTACCTTCAATGACAATGCCCTAACCCCACCGCCCCCTCCCCCAGCGGTGTATTGGAGCGTCAGCTTCGACAATGTGTGTTCATTTTTCCCAATGTCCAACCACCAGTGCAAAGGCCAGTGTCGAACTAATAATATTCCTTGCATTTGATATAGCACCTTATCACCGTGGTTGGGACGTCTCAAAGCACTTCACAGAATACACTGCAAAGTGGAGTGACTGTATCTTGTGGCCGATTCCAGTGCGAGGATCAGACTGAACACTGAGAGTCTGGGGCCTCAAGACCTTTTCATGCGGAGTATGAGCTCGGCCCAATCTGTCTCAAGGATTGAGTGGGTTTCAAACACAAAAGGGATTAGTTTGAGAAGGAAAAAGTAACCATTTGCAGTGGGAGAGCTCTAAAATGCATCAAACCATATATATAATACATAAAAAATTCCTGAGCGGCCGAGACATTTTTTCCAGGATTGTAGTTCAGAGCTCCCTCCCAGAGCTCACCGTCTCTCTCTCTCTTTCTCTCTCTCTCTCTCTCTGGCAATACGTCAGTCATGTTCCACACATGTTAATGTTTAAGTGAAAATGCAGAGAATGTACTGTAACAGTGAAAAAAAATACTGACCTCTCCCCTCCTGATATTTTCCCTCAGAAAGCCCCCTATTCTAACACTTGATCCACATCATCCCTTCACCAGAGCAATGCATTATAGACGAGGCTCTCCTCGTCCTCCTCTAGAGCGATCACAAGCTAACGTCAACAACAACAACTTGCGCTTATATAGGGCCCTCCAAGCAGGTTAGCGTCGCAGAGCGCTTAGCACTGGTAGAGCCTGACTCCGAAGAATATTCCAAGCATCCTTATCTTTCCACCTCCATGTTACCTTCTCACATCTGAGTAATAAGGTTGTGGGTTCAAGCCCCGTGTCTGGGCTTTGAGCCCCAGTCTAGGCTGACTGGGGGAGGGGGGAACGTTATACGGTCAGAGGTGCCGTCCTTTGGGTGAAACGTTAAACTGATGGCTTTTAAAAGATCCTGTGGCACTACTCAAAAATAGAAGGGAGTTTCTCCCCATGTTCTGGTCTAAAATCCCTAAATAAAATAGGGCACTCACTACTCACATACGTGGGACACTGCTATATTTACCTACAAATGCACTGGCAGCTTTAACAACAACTTGTAGTTATATAGCGGCCTTCACGCAGGGTAATGTCTCAGAGCGCTTTAAGATGTTCCTGGCATTTCATCAAATGCAAGATGTATTGTTTCATAGCTATGCGCAAATTGGCTGCCGTGTTCGCCTGCAAATACACAGTCACTACACATCACGGTAATACCCTGTGAAGTGTTCCGAGACATCCGGACAGCCTAATAAAGCGTGTCCGACCCGCAGCCAACACACAGCCAGGTAACAAGGTAAGTAGAGCTCACAGTCTCCCTTTGGGTCCATCAATAAATGAAGAGTGGCGACAGATAAAGAGTGAACATGTCAGTTTTAACTCTACCAACACCCACCCTTTAGAATCGCTCGGCCCTTTACACAAAACTGTGTGATCTGTAATTTCGTGCGAAGCTTGGGGGCAGATTCCACATCACCTCATTCCACCTGAACGTGAGCATAACCCAGCTGGACAGCTGTCAAGGAACATACTTCAAATAGAGAACAGCCTTGAATGTGCAGACTCGATCGCAGCTGGAACTCGCCAAACACGCAGCAGAAACCCTTTTAGTCCCAATTAAAAATGCGGAGGAAAGAAAATAAAAATCGTGCGAGTTCAAGGGCCACTTAGAAGATTCAGTCAGCACGCAGTTAATGAGACCCACTTGCGCCGGCTGACTTTGCCCCCCCCCCCGCCCCGAGCCAAAAAGACTTGCTGCAAAGTCTAATTAGTTCATTCTTTCAGACTGTAAACTTGGGTCTCTCTGAAGGTGGCTTCTTCCTCTAAGGCAGCGCTCCGCAGGGAACCCCACCACAATTGGAGGAGAGACACTGACCAGGAATGCCTCAGGTTCAATGTTGTTATTTGCTGGTTTGCAAATGCCCTCTGTTCAGCCAAGGCCCGACTCTTCCAATGCCCTACTCGCCGGTCTCCCCAGCTCCACTACCCACACACTACAACCGATTCAGATCTCCGTCGCCCAGATACTCAACCACGCTAAACTCTGACCCACCATCACACCAGTCCTTGCCACGTTCCACTGGCTTCCCCCATCACAGAACGGGTCCTCTCGCTCGTCTACAAATCCCTTCATTCACTTGCGCTTCCCTGCCTTTTCTGACCCGCTTCCTCCCCACTCCACTGCCCGCTGGCTCCACTCGTCCGGCTCCTGTCCATCCCTCGTCCCCTCCGCTCCAGGATTGGCGGGCGTGCTTTCAGCCACTGCACCCCAAAGCTTTGGCACTCACTCCCTCTCTCTCCCTCTCCATCTTTCCCCTCCTTCCCCCTCTTTCAGGTCACGACTAAAGACCTTCCTCCTCGAATGCTTATGGTCACTTCCTCCTTCCCCCAGGGTCAGGGTCAGGCTCCACCACTGTTAAGCGCTCTAAGGCGCTGTATAAATGCAAGTTGTTGTTGTGGATTGCTGATATCATCTGTTCCACTAGTGGATGCCCTACAAATGCCCTTAATACCCCTGGGTTAGAGAGAGACAAGATGAGACTGGAAGACTGCTAAACAGAACAAGCAAGATATTTTGCAGAAACAGCTGTCTCGATATGCAAACATCTGTAAGAGCGGAGGGAGGGAGAAGGGAGCAACAGGTCCAATATAATCAAAGATAAAGCTAAGGTTTGGTGTCAGCCCGGCTCAGTTGGTAGCAAGTCCTACATCAGGACTTTGAGTTCACAATCTAGACTGACACTCCGGTTCAGCACTGGGGGAGCACTGCATTGTCAGAGGAGCCATCTTTCAGATGAGACGAAGTCTCGACTGCCTGTTCAGGCGGACGTTAAAGACCCCTTGACACTATTTGAAAAGACAAGCGAGTTTCTCTCTCCCAGTGTCCTGGCCCACAATCCCTCAGATAATCGGTCACACACTTCCAAGGCCGTTTGTAGGACATTGCCTTGTGCCTCGTTTCACCCTTCAAAATACACAGTCACTACACTTATAATAATAATAATCATCTTTGCATTTGAGATAGCGCTTTTCAGTCTTCTCGACGTCTCAAAGCGCTTCACAGAAGACTGGGTAAGTCAAGTGACTGTATATTTGTGGGCGAAACAACCGGATGCCAATTGCGCACAGCAGTGTCCCACAAACACTCGTGGATTCAAAATGACCGATTTGTTGTT